AAGTCTAATACAAAGACAAGCCGCAAAAAAGGCTTTTAATGTACTCTTAGACCTTAGATATGATCTTGTAATAAGAACTAGTCCTTCTACGCGAACTGATAAACCCGGTTGAACTAGAGGTGATTCGTAAGGGTAAGACTAAAGTTTACCATATAATGGATAAGTGCTAAAGTATTTTCTATGCTGCAGATATTTGTAACGGGATCACTAAAAAGTATCCAGAAGAGAAAAAACAGAAGAGAAGTAGCACTAACTTTACGTACAGAAGAAATAAGTAAAGATATTAGTGACGGAAATAACGTAAATCAATGACATATCAAGGACAGTTATTATTGGTCACTAATCTTATGAATTTGTGTCAACGACCCCGTTAGCACGCTGAAGACGCACTCTAGCAGATAAATGACCAATTATTCGTAGGCAAAGAATAGTGGAATGCACACGAAGACAAATTTATTAAAGCTACCTTACAGTACGACGTAATAAAATAATTGCTAACGGAAGAACCAGGACGGAAACGATGAACGATAGTGAAGTGAAATAAGATAAACTCCATTACACAACTGCCATAGAAACGAGTGAGTTGACCAACCGGATTCTAGTAAAGAGGGGAAAACTAAAAGCTTCTATTCTTCGCTTTCCAATGTCCCGCACATTCTATTCAGCTGCACCAGCACTTGCCACCATCTCGACTCTGGGTTAAAGACCAACGGCGGGCAACAATAGCTGTATATTCTCTGATCATCTGTGAACTGATCCAGGCGCCAAGATTTTTTAAAAACCATTAGCAAAAAACTACAAGATATGTCTATTGGAACCAGTTGCAAAATAATCCTTTTAGACAGGAAAAGAATCTCGTTGTATTCTCCTCGTGAAGACGGCTGAAAACTTGTTTTTGCACACAAAAACGTAGAAAAAATCTCTCAAAAATGAAGATAAGCCTAATGGGAATAATGGCGACGATGGAAACGAGAAAGATACATGATGGAAACTAAAATAACTTGGACATAAAAATGCATCACAACATAACATAAAGACAAAATAATCGAAAACAAGTACATGATTGAATATCGCATTGAAATCACAAACCTAGAATTTGAACTCCAGTCAAGGCAAGTGTTAGCATCATGAGCGACCCGATATGAGCTCTCAAGGCAGAAGGAACCAAATTTCAATGAAGTGATTCCAGGATTCTGGTAAACGTGTACGTCTGT